TTCCTATGGAACAATCTAAAATTACATTTTACACTCATAATTTGCAGGCTTCTCAGGGACTTAACGTCTTAAGTGCTGACTGTGAGATGCCAGGTGTTTAATAATGATGTGCAGTATTAATCCTGAAAAGGTATATTCTTAACTATTCAACATCTTTCCTTAAAAAATACATAACCAGTAATAAATAGTGTCACAAATAAAGCAGTCAGTTAATTCTTATACAGAGCAATTCTTAAACACTAATGTACACTTGAATAACTGATTCTGTGTTGCTTTAGTATTTTTGAATATGCTTTATAAGCATAGTTAATATTTAATACTGTTGAAACATAATATTTATATCATTAAAAAATATAAAATATAACTGCATATAATTATGCAATAAAACATAATTCATTACAAAATATTTGTTTAATTAATTATGAATTTTATTATTAAAGGTGAGCACAACCACAAGAAGTTCTAGGAAACACAGGCAGTGGACTTAAAACAGACATGGATTAAAGAAATAGTAATTTAAATAATCAGAAACATTTGAAACAAATTTATGATTGAAACACTTCCAGCAAAATAATTGCAAAAAAAAATAAGTGTTGGATTCTTAGATTCCAAAAACCTGCAGCTAGAAAAAAACTGTTTGTGTTATAGTGAATGTAGGGTATTCTATTCTGTATTTGAACTAAAGGATATGATATTTTTTATATTAAATTTTGTGAAAGAAAATTTAATGTGATACATTATTGATAATTTTACCCCAAAATATGTGATCATGTTATAACTCATAAAATTCTGTCCCAGAATTCCGCCCAGAATCTTGTTTGACAATTCCGCTCCGAAATTCCGCCCCAAGGTTCCGCCCCAAGATTCCGCTTCAAAATTCCGCCCCAAGATTACGCTTCAAAATTCCGCCCCAACTCATTTGCATATTTCGTCCCAATTCCGCCCAGAATCCGTTCCATTTCCGCCTGGAATCCGGCCGGAATCCGTGCCAAAAGCAAATGGTTTAACACTTGTATATTCGGGGAGAATTTAAATTTCTGGGCGGAATCTGCCTTTGAATTCCGCCCCATTTCCGTGCAGAAAATTTCGTACACAGGTTACTTATTCTTCTGCGTTTAACTAGAAATTATTTTTGTTTGTTGTTGATATAGTTCAGCTTTTGATTTTAGTAAATTGCTTTGCTGCATATCAGAATAACTTTTTCTAGTGATTGCTTTCAAAAATGTTGATTTGTATAAAGATTTGTTTATTTTGTTTGCTAACAGCAATATAATATAAGCTTACAATATTTTGAATAGACACTTGTCACAATATATATAAATTTTCTATAGGTTGTGACTTTGGTATTTAGTGTTTAATTTCATTGAACTGAAAAATATTTTTAAAGGTGAAAACATTTGAAAATTATCTGTAAAATTATTTGTTCTGACTTGAAATTTGCTATGTATAGATTCTATGTTTTTTTTATATGCCAGCGTTTAACTCAGATGTCAGGTGAAAGTTTTCTTCTCTTTTTTTTTCTTCACAATAAAGAAGAGATTATGAAACATTATCCTAAATTGTCCACAAGCACATTAAGTGCAGTGCTTTGCTTTTTGTAAGCTAATTATTAATGCAAAATTACACAGAATTTGTACTATTGCTTTAATATTATGTGCTATTTTAGGTATCTTTAGCAATTTTAATTTTAATTTCTCTTTGATGCCATTTACTCACAGTCATATTTGTATATTGCTATCTATTTTAATGGTTAATATTTAATAGTACATGATCTGATAATTAGTAACAGCTGATGAAAAAACCTTTTTCATGCAGTGTCAGTCTATTTCTTTGATGAAAATAAAACATTTGAAAGAAACTTTGAAAGAAAATCATTCAAACACACACAAATGAAGACCCTTGCACATGTTTTGACATGTTAATGTTAAAAATACTTTTGTACACGCAATGAATAGCTACTATAACTCCCTTGTTGGTATTTATATCAGCATTGCTATTTTCAATGTCAAACTGTACATTCTCTCATGATTTGAAAACCAGTTTACATGTAAATCATCAATTTTGTTTTATCTAGGCTGTCAGGGCCCCATCACCCTTTGTTTTAATGTGGTTAATTTGGTTGAGTTTTTATGTGTGATTGGGACAGGGAGGATGGGGTTGAATTTGCAGACATGTTTGTAAAAACAACTTTTGTCAGTTCTAAAAATATAGGCATTGTCCATTAAAATTTAAAGATTAACTCAGGTAAACATAGGAACACTGCAAGTGATTAACCAAATTATAACCAAGTTATAAGCATTATATTTTATGAATTCTTAAATGAATTTGGCTTGTGGGTTTGTAACCTGGTGGAAAATGCATCAATTTTTATTCAACTTTTAATTCTGTATTTCATTACTTACTGTTTGACAAAATAATATATTACTATGCATATGAACTTAAAGGTATATGTATTGTATAATTTTTGTTTCTCTTAAAAATTAAACTAGAGGAAGAGGTGGACTAAGAGAAACCACACGTCACCACCTAATAGGTTAAAATTATTTATTAAAGTCTACAAGTTTTGATCTTTACAATGATCTTCTCTTAAAAATTGTTAAAATATTCATATGTTTAATCAATAAAAGAAAAGAAAAAATGAGATACTGGAATAAATAAGATGCAGATTCTCTATTTAATAATAATTACATAAAAATAAAATAGATGATAGATAAAAAATTGATCAGATTAATAATGTTGGAAAAAAAATGCTTATTGTAATACTTACTGTAGAACCCCCTAAATAAGCATATAAATGTGCTTCTAAATTATTAACTGATGCTTTTATGCGTTATTCTTTGATATGTGCACACAATTTGCACCTATTATTGATATTATGTGCTGCATTACAGAACAAAATAATTTTAAGTTTCTTTTCTCAGCTAGGTGTATGATTTTCTTTTGCTTGATATATAGAAGGTGTTTGATTGTTTTCATATATTAGATCAAAATAAATATTTTTCTGTAATGTTTTAATGAGTGGTGTCGCCTTGAGTGAAAATATAAAAGCTGGTGTTCATGAGTGAAATTAAGTTGACCTTGCATACAAAACAAATAAATTTTCTATTTATTTCATGCTTTTTTTAGGGGTATTAAGTCATTTTACTGATTTTTAGCTCGACTATTCGATAAGAATAAGTAGAGTTATTGTAGTCACCCGAGCGTCGGCGTCAGCGTCTGCGTCGGCGTAACCACTTATGTTAAAGTTTTTGTAATAGTTTTAATATTTTCAAAGTCCATTGACATATGGCTTTGAAACTTTGCACACTTGTTCACCATCATTACCCCAACCTATAGACAGGAGGAGGTAACTCTATCAAGCATTTTGTCAGAATTATGCCCCTTTTTCGACTTAGAATTTACGTTAAAGTTTTAGTAATAGTTCAAATATTTTCAAAGTCCATTGACATATGGCTTTGAAACTTTGCACACTTGTTCACCATCATTACCCCAACCTGTAAACAGGAGGAGGTAACTGTATCAAGCATTTTGACAGAATTATGCCCCTTTTTCAACTTAGAATTTACGTTAAAGTTTTTGTAATAGTTCAAATATTTTCAAAGTCCATTGACATATGGCTTTGAAACTTTGCACACTTGTTCACCATCATTACCCCAACCTGTAAACAGGAGGAGGTATCTGTATCAAGCATTTTTTTTACTATCAAGCACTAAGAATAGTCGAGCGTTGCTGTCCTACCGACAGCTCTTGTTGTTTTTGATGTGTAAAAAAAACATGCACTCTCATCCATGATGTCATCAAGTCATGACCTCAGATCGTCTTTTTTGAAAAATAAATCTGTAAAAATTTTACATATTACATGTACATTACGTTTTTATAATGATATGTGCAGATATTCACAAGCTTTTCATAATCAAGCATATTTTACTCATGAATGTTTGTAATTCTGACGGTATTTCACTAAGTCTTATTTATTATGTAAGTTATATTCTTTTCATCCACATTCAGATAAAGTTCAGCTACTGTGAAAATTATATTTTATTTTTCATTAAATATTTCACAGTGAAATTATCAAAATATAATTTCACTTTCCACTATAGATAGATAAACACTGAAATGCACAGGCAAAAGTATCGGACCTGGGAAGAAAAAATATGACCAGATTGATAAAAAAAACCTGTGTTCAAAAGGGCTTAACTTATAGTATATTTTAAAGGGGGTCATTATTTACATTTTTTTTTTTTTTTTTTTTGACACTTTTAAGATGAACACAGGTTTTTTTTATCAATCTGGTCATATTTTAACTTCCCAGGTCCGATACTTTTGCCTGTGGTGAAAATATATCTACAATGTTTGTTTTACTCAATGATTTTATTGATCATATATAGTTAAATTTGATACTTTAATGATTTTAATATAACAAATACTTATGTATGCATGAAAATAAATCTCAAAATTTTGACATGGTGGTTAACACTTATTGTTGCTTACTAAATGATCTAATATTTGCACATGGAAAGAAAATGAAACATTATTTGGATGAGATTTGAAATTTGTTAACAATCAGCATGTGCATCATTCAGCATCTTACATGTTCTAACATACTGCTATACAGAGAATGCTGGCATTGTTACATGACATCCATCATATAATGTCATAACTACTGTCTATACAAAAAAGCTTGACATAAAATTTAAAAAACTGGACATAAATTTATGGTCTTATTTGTGGTGTCAAATTACTAACAATAAGTAAAAGCTAGGATATACACTTATTTCTAAAGAAATTGTATTTTCCCTGTTAGAAAAATATATAAGGGCTTTATGTTCAGGTTCAATTTTTTGATGGGAAAATGTAAACCTATTTTCAGAAATATGGAGTTCTACACTTTATATAAATCTGTTGTAAAAGGTGTTGTACGTGTGTTCCTCACCTGCTTTACTTATTATTTTATATAAATCTTTTTAATCATATTAAATCTGCTCATTAATTTTTTCCAGGTCAAAAAACTAGTAGCTCGGCAGAGCTGTATAGACATGGGATATCAAGACAGAAGGGTTAGTTGGGCAGAAGGAAAATTTCAAAGAGAGCATGGTAAGGAGAATCAAGGATAGAAAAATATTATTATCATCTTTCATATTAAATGTATATAAGTCATTTTGTGACCTCAACCTCCAATCCCCTTAGGGATGCTGGAGGAAATAACAGGCTTCCATTTTCACTCTCACTACTATAGTCAGTTTAAGTTTACTATGCATGGTCCAAGATTATAATACATGTATAAAGATATTTTCTATATCTTAACTCAGATTTCATGTAATTGATTGATCAGGCATGCATTTGATTGGTCAATAACCAGCACAATATGTCGACTGACTAATAAAAGTTTAAAGGTTTATGATTGTATTCTTCTCATTTAAATGTTTGCTTTACTTCTGAGTTCCATAGCAATATTAATTTTGACTTTTTGATCATGTTGCAGGCGGAAGTGATGACTACTCTGCAGTCGATCTTGCCAAGTATATGGAAGAAGTATGTTTTATCTTTCTTTTCAAGCAATAAAGGATTTTATGCTTAAAGCCTTAATTATGTCATCTGTTGTAGCAAACAATGTTTTAAGCATCATCAACTCAGGCAATACATTTATAAGAATTGTGTTTAAATTTTACTTGTTTTGCTACAATTTTTAAATCAAATCAAAACAAACTGTACTTTCCAAAGAAATATGAGGCAAAAAGATGATGTTCTCACAGTTACTGTATAACCTGCCTTTATATTTAAGCAATACCCACTAAATACTATGATACATCAAATTACCACCTACATTATTAAGTTAGACAACTTTATTAACTGCTATTCATGGATTGGAACAAGATGTAGACCAAAGTGGAGAGGTCGTTTTGTGTATCAGTTTCAGAATCATGGGTAGTAGCCCAATAGGGGTCAAAACCAGGCAGTACTGGTTAGTGCCAGAAATAGGTGGACTCAAAAGTGGTTTTAATATAAATCAAAGCTTTCATCAAAATCGGGCTAAAGCAATTATGTTATGATAACAAACAGACCAGTTCACAACAATCATTGTGGTTCTATTATACAGTGTATGCAAATGAAACAGTTGTCAATTAAGTACCTTTTGAAAAAATAGTTCAATCATGACAACTTTAAAGAGTATTAATTAGTGTGTGAAGTCAAATGTAAATTCAAAAAAAGCAGAATTGAGTTTAATATTTAGCAAGCAAAGGTATAAAAAGAAAGTAAGTTGATAATTGTTATTACAGGCCGCCCTGCTGACATTCTGAATATCTGAAGAAATAATGACAGGCATCTGCCTTAAGTATAAAGCCAAGTCAAACTGCACATGTTTTCAGTCTCTATACTACTAGCTGTCTAATTGTCCATGGTAATTTATTATTTAAAAACAGGACAGGTCTAAAGAAAACAAAATTACACCTGCAAGTTCTGATATAACTTTTGTTAATCAAACTTCAGAGGCAGGATGATGTTCCTGATGCATCACATGACCCTGGAGCATCACATGACCCTGGACCATCACATGACCCTGGACCATCACATGACCCTGAGCCATCACATGATCCAAGCACATCGCATGATCTTGGACCATCTCATGTAACCATGGCAACAGAAAATGGTCAATACAAATTGACTGCTAAGTTGACAGATTATGGTACAACCTTATCTTCTTTTTTTTTTAATTGTTTTGTGATTTAAAAAATCTCTAGCTATATTTATATTATCTTATTGTGCCATTATGATGTAGTAGTATTAGCATAGTTGTTAAGATGAATTTCTAAATCTTTTAAAAATGCTTACCTGCATATATGTTATATTTCACACTATCAAATATAGGGGTGTCCGTGGCCGAGTGGTTAAAGCCGTTAACTTCAAACCTCAGCTAGCTTACGGAATGTCGGTGGTTCTACCAAGGTGCCTGTTCGTGCCTGAAATAATGCACAGAAGGGCACCTGAGGTCATCCTCCACCAGTAAAGCTGGAACATCGCCATATGACCTATACTGTGTCGGTGTGACGTAAACCCAATCAAACAAACAAAGTATGGAATATAACTAATGAACTCTCAGCGTTGGCACCCTGTAATGTTCCAACTGAAAACATTATTGAAGCCTATCTTAACCAATTTAGCCTCCTTTTCATTTTCAGATTCCAAATGCATATCATTGTCCATTGGCCTTGTTTTCATTTCAGAGTTCAAAAACCCATATCATGTCATTATTGTACTTGAAGTATCAAAGTTCTGTCAAAATGCAAAAAAATAGTGGTGTGAAATAAAGAGGTCATTATACAATGTTTTAAGAACCATTCTGATTCTATTGGACTCAAACACAGCATAAAACCTATACCTGACTAATATTGTGCCTTGTGCATTATAGGTTTGAAAACTGTGTTCTCATCCAGTATTGTACTCAACAATGTATAATAACCTCATATCATATTATCTTTTACAGATTCTTTTATTTACTTTGTCTAGGCTGTCCTAATGATGGGAGTCATCACATTATTGAACTTGAAGGACTTTCCATGGATAGAAGTCATTGTGGATGTTATCTAAAGGTGATAGGGATAGCTTCCAACAGTCCCTAACCATGGCACCCTCAAACACATTTTGTCTATAACAGATAACTGATTTAAAAAATGAAGGCCTGTAATTAGCAGTTTAAATGGGATTAAGGGAAAGGAATCTGAAGAAAATGATTTACACTAAATGAGAGTGTGAATTGTTTTCACTTAAATGTTATAAAGCCTGAACTTATATAGCTATATAGCATTGCTGGGAGGGATTTTAAGTAATTTGATATGACATAACAAAGAATGTTTTCTGATTTTTTTTATTCAATTTAAAGCCAAAAAAAAATACTGAAAAACAGCAAAATCATTGTTAAACAAACCATTTTTGTACAGTATAAAAAGTACCCATAGATTATGTTTCAGTAAAATCAAGCAATGTGATGTGATTGAAGAGGCTTTTACTTTCTGTCATATTCAAATTTCTTTTTCTTAATCCTAACTAGAGCTTTTCTCGGAAAAGATTCTGTGTGTGATAATACACATCCACAGACAGTTGTCTGTTGTTTGTTACAGACAAAAGTGTTTGGAGGAGAAACAATCCATCATGGACTTTGTACTTGGATTGGAATTTTATTTAACTATGAATTATTTTGTTACATATTTTAAAAAGCGATATTGTTTTAATCATTTAAATGAATTGATTTGATATAATTTTCAGTCAAACTTAAATTCAATACACAGGAGGATCATTGCATACATGCCATATTTCCAGACACCCGAAAAGGGGAAATTGGCTTTAAAAAGCAGGGCATTTGGACCAAAAGTAGGGGGATTTTTAAACAAGAGCAAACCAGTCGTAATCTTAAAACTATGCTTACATAGTTTTAAGGTGTAGATATTACTTCAGGCATGTATAGTTGTAAAAGTTGTTTAAGTCTATTTAATAATGTTTATTGGTAAATATGATGCTTTAATTTTTTGTTGGTTGAATTTTTGAAAATCGGTGGATTTCGATCCCATGATGGGAGATTGGGAGACAAGGATGAAAATCAGGGGTTTTAGTCCCATGGTGGGGGATATGGTATGTATGATCATTATGACCCTGGGTAGCTGGATGAATTTCCCTGCAGCATGTCATGGGCCACTGTTTCTGGCAGGTACTTATATATTTGGAGTGACCCTGAGTTTTTTCAAAGATAATGAAATCCCTGAATACAATATATTGTAAATATATTAAATTGAATTTAAGCTTGGCTCTGAACTATTAAAACTGTTGTTATTCTAATATGCTATTTAGTAAGTGCTAAAGTGGTTGAAATTTTATTTTGTCAAATGATATAATTTATTGTTCCGTTTTTCAAATTCCGTGGAACATTTCATTTATTTAATCTGTAACAACTTGTTACTAACCCATTAAATCAGTGAATCAATAGTCAAAACATGATTTCAACCACTTAGTAGGCAAGTGTTTGTCCAGTTTATTGAAACTGACCAGTGTTGGCCAGATAGATCTAATTTCATTAATGCTGACTTACAAACACTAACCTACTTAAAGAGTTAAAATGTTATTATTTTTTGTTAGCTCACCTGTCACAAAATGACAGGGTGAGCTTTTGTGATCGCTTTTCGTCTGGCGTCCATCCGGCGTCCGTCCGTCCATAAACTTTTACTTTAAATGACATCTCCTCATAAACCACAAAGCCAATTTCATCCAAACTTCACAGGAATGTTCCTTTGGTGGTCACCTTTAAATATTGTTCAAAGAATTTAATTTCATGCAGAACTCTGGTTGCCAGGGCAACCGAAAGAAAAAACTTTAAATATCTTCTTTTAAAAAACCAAAGAGGTAGAGCTTAGATATTTGGCATGAAACATCTTCTAGTGAGTGTCTACCAAGTTTGTTCAAATAAAAGCCCTGGGGTCAAAATTTGCCCCGCCCCAGGGGGTCATTGATTTTACCTATATGCATATAGTAAAAACTTAAAAAATCTTCTTTTAAAGAACCCAAAGAGCTAGAGCTAAGATATTTAACATGAAACATCTTCTAATGAGTGTCTACCAAGTTTGTTCAAATAAAAGCCCTGGGGTCAAAATTGGCCCCGCCCCAGGGGTCATTGATTTTCCCTATATGCATATAGTAAAAACTTAAAAAATCTTCTTTTAAAGAACTCAAAGAGCTAGAGCTAAGATATTTAGCATGAAACATGTTCTAATGGGTGTCTACCAAGTTTGTTCAAATAAAAGCCCTTGGGTCAAAATTGGCCCCGCCCCAGGGGATCATTGATTTTCCTTATATGTGTATAGCAAAAACTTAAAAATCTTCTTTGAAAAAACCCAAATACCTGGAGTTTAAATATTAAGCATGAAACATCTTCTAGTAAGTGTCTACAAAGTTTGTTCAAATTAAAGCCCTGGGGTCAAAATTGGCCCCGATATGTGTACAGTAAAAAGTTAAAAAATCTTCTTTTAAAAAACCCAATGAGCTAGAGCTTAGATGTTTAGCATGAAACATCTTGTTATGGGTGTCTACCAAGTTTGTTCAAATAAAAGCCCTTGGGGTTAAATTGGCCCTGCCAGGGGGGGAGATCATTGTTTTTCATTATATGTGTGTAGTAAAAACTTAACATCATGAAATAATTCTTCTAATGGGTGTCTTCCAAGTTTGTTCAAATAAAAGCCTTTGGGTTTAAACTGGCCCCACTCCGGAGGGGGCCTATATACAGGTGAGCGACCTCAGGGCCATCATGGCCCTCTTGTTTCATGTTAAAGTCTGTTTTTAAAGATGTTAACTTAAACTTAACATTCATTTGGAAAAATGATATGTTTTTATTGTTTGTTGCATATTTCCATTATTTTCTTCACTTTTCAGCAAATCATAAAGGGAAATAATTATTGAATCTTTTAAAGTATATTAAGTAATTTCAGGAAATAAAGAAAATAACATGTGAGTAATTAAAAAAAAAGAATGAATGTTAAGAATAATTAACATAACATATATATTTTTGTTTTTATGTGGCTGACTAAAGCAATAATTATATTTCTTTTGTTTTGTTCATGTCATTGTAATTATTTAATTTTAGAATTTTTTTTTTTTTTAAGAAGTTCTTTATGCCCATGTAAAACATCCTTAATATAGCACTTTTTTTATCTGCTATTACACTTTATACAAAATAATAAAATATTTTTATGCAGTAGATACAATAAAGCAGAAAACTAAAAAATATTGAATTTAATGAGGTAAGGAAGTAAAGGTTGAAATTCATTAGACCATTTTCTGCTAATAACTTACTTAAATCACCGCTTTAGTATGAAAGTATATATGTATTGAAGAACAAGATACAAGAAAATTGATTTAACTTTGGTTCATAATTATGTAATAAAGAAAAATTACATACAAAATCCGATCCAAACCGCAAACATATATCAGATATTTTTTCTTGCATATTCTGCCATATTATTTCATATTTAAAATGATTTACATCAATATGATATATGTTCATGGAAATTAAAATAATTTCATCCATAACTATTTTCCTACAATAGCGTATGACCTTACAACTTAAATAACAACGGCCAAATGACATCATCCTAAGCACATATTTCCCTTTTAAAATGACGTCATTTTAATGTGGTTCATTCATAAAGTGCGCTAAAATGAAGTTGTTGTTTGGCACGCGACTCATCTGGCACCCCCCATGCCAGATGAAATTTCCGGCATGGATAAAACTCACGGAAACGCCAGTCTGCTATGCAAGAAAGTAAATTCTTGTGACTGTTTTGTTTTGCAGGTTTTTGGTGTTTTTAAAGATTTAATTTTTGTTGTGTTAGATTAAGTGTGAAATAATGAATTGAAATGTTATAGGTAGTTTGAGATTTAAAGATTTACAACGAAATATAACACAACAGATATTGGGCTAACACATTAATATAAATGGATGCCTACCTTTGCTGTATTAGAAATACAGTATGGACAGAACAAAACAGTTATTTTAAAAATGATTTCAGTCATGTATGCTTGTAGATAATAACTTAAAGGGAGGTAAATGTAGCAGCACTTTAATCAATGTATATAATGATATTAACCCATGTGATACTGAAGTTGTATAATTACAGTGTATTTATCTGAAAAATTTCTTATTATCACAGAAATTGACTAAAATGAGTATTTTTCACTTTATGTAAATACAGCAATTAAATGTAACCTACACTTAAATAATAGAAGAAAATAAGTAAACTCAAGGTGGAATTATTTTCTCCATATTAAACTAAAAATGTCAAAACAAATTAATTCATTGAATAAGATATGCATTTTTCTTTCTAAAGAAAGATAAACAACTAAGTCCTGGCTTATGAGAATACTTTGTTCTGTGAGTGATATCGGTACACCCATCTTGTGACAGTTAGTGATATTAGGTTAAATTTGTTGGTTACATGGAAGTAAAATGATGTGTTTTATATAAGAGATGTAATAAAATTAAAGGGAACTTTTTAGCAAATTTTGTTCAAAGATTGTAGCCATAATTGCTTTGTTTTTCAATATTAAAATACTGAATTCATTGAGATTTATCAGAAGACTGAGATTAATATCATTTAATAGTAAATATAATTAGTGTACAAGTTACTGAAATCAGATATACTGGAGAACTGAGCCAGAATGAGATAAATATGAGTTAAGCGGGGTTATATTTATGTCAGCAAGGCTATATTGTCCCATATAGCTAGTCAGCAACTAGTATAATGAGTTCATTACAACGCAAATTCTATTTGGCATATTCATAAAAAGAAAGAAAAGGAACGTTTGACTGTTTTAATTGAAATTTAAGGAAAATGCGCAGCTGGTAAAGAACCTGTGATGGTAGATGTTCAACGCTCTTTGCATCAAATATTATGTCATAATTGCGGTGTGACTTACTGGTATAACTTCCCAATTAAAGTCATGATATTTTATTCGAGAAATATGCCATAAAGAACTAACACAACAGTATTTATTTTTTTACCCACATGTAAATTAACTGACTTGTTTGTAAATTTCTAATAAAGTGCCTATCCGTTCACTAAACTATAATAACTAAAGCTGTAATTATATTTAGAATATTTTGTTCTAGAACATTTTATTCTGTTTTTTATATATTGTATAATCAATGTGTATTAAGTAATAGATATACATTTTGTTAAATTTGTCACAAAAATTAATCTAGAAAATATGAAAATATTCAATAATATGTGAATTGTAAAATTTTGCCAGTTACACATATTTCTACCTTGGCACACATAAATACATGTACATGTACAATGTTTTGATTAGAACAGGTTTGTGATTTTTATTATTTAGCAATTGTAAAAGAGTGTGTTTTTTCATGCCTCCACTCTTGAAGGTGGGGGATTTAGATTTGCCCTTGTCTGTCTGTCCTTGCATGAGTGTGTGGTTTGTGTGTGTCACATGTAGCTCTAAAGTGCTCCATCGAGGTAAATTCAACAAACTTTACAGGAATGTTCATCAGCATAGGAAGTTTTGCATTTGAATTAATTCAGCTTTGATAGAGATAATACCCTTGACTTAGCAAACATTTTTCAATTTTTATCGCAAGTAGCTCAAAAAGTATTTGACATGGAGTTATGAAACTGGTTAGCATGTGTTGTTGCGCACCTGTACGTTTGCTTGTGGATTTATTAATTATTTGTAGAGTAATTGCCCTTCACCCAGTAAAAACTGTTGTGTCTCAGATTGTACCTCTAAAAGTGCTTGAGCTAAAATCAACAAACTTTATAGCAATATTGATTAGCATGTAAAGTTGTGCACCTAGGGTTTTGTGTGGATTAATTAAATTTTGTTAAGAGTTATAACCCTTGACTTAATAAAAAGTTGCAATTTTCAACTTGTGTTTCAACTTACGTAACTCAAGAAGTAAATGACCTTATTCATAATGACCTTAGTCATTAAATTGTAAAGGACTTTGGTCAGCCTATGTAGTTGTGCATCTGGGGTTTTCTTCTTGTAATTTTCTTTTAAGCATACTATAGGATACATGATTGTAGTTTTGAGCTTAAATACAGCAAAATATTTTATTAAAAATACTAATAATGTTTTAACAGAATGCATTTAATCATGAACATTAGTTTTTTCTTAGCTGTCAAAGACACAAGAATATGTCCTTTGGTATATCTTGAATATATACAATCTTCATTCATGTAAAACTTTCCTTTCTGTGTTATTGGCAGTTATATGAGTATAATTATAATTTTCTCTCGCTTACAAGAATTTTAAACCCATTGGGAAGAGAATAATTAATATCATAGTTAATAATATGTACTGAATTGTAAAAAAAATCAAAACATTTTACACCTTAGTAATTAGATATTGAAATGAATTTTGTTTTATATTCACACAATTTATGCAATTCTTTTTTTTTAATCTGATTGCAGTTAATGAAGAAAAATAAGTTCTACAGTGAGTAACAGTGAGTGATATATATATCATATCTCATTGGTAAAATGAAACATTTAATTGTTTTTTTTTTATATTACACTCTGGTAATCAGACTTGCTCATGCTTTGAAAGTCAACCAAATTCCCTGCTTATTTCTTGTAATGGACTTCACTTAGCTTTGATTTGTAGCTGTCAGTTGCACATATGATAAATTTAAAACTATTTTAGTTATCAACTACTAGACTAAGTATTAAACTGATAAAAGTATATATTCTAAATGTTCTGCATAGCTGGTCAGGCATTTATGCTGGTGGCAGTCAGGCAAGTTATTGTTTTATAGAATGTTGTTACAACTGTCCTCACTTGCAGTTTGAGGTTGATTTCGTTCTGGTAAATATCACTGAGGCAAAGATTAGATTTTCTTTTTTCATACAGCCTTCATTTATTTATTATCATCTTATTTGGTATGTTGGAATCTTGCAAAAATTTCTATATATATGTTGGTTTTGTCATGACGCGGCTCATTTGTTAAGTAGCTCTCTTGCAAGACCAATACTTTTATGTTTAATTTCAGGTCATTGGGAGTCAGGTCACCAGACTAATTTCAGATATTCTTCATTAAGCTATATTCACATCTTGGGTATGTTTTCTAAAGGTATCTTGGATGCACTCTTACTCTCTGGTTGATTTGAAATAATTATTATAAACTGTAATTACAAATTAGATATATTGATGTAGGATTTTAATATAAAGCTCTTCACTTACATGTATAGTTCTCAAGGACAGGTCTACTTGCAGCAAGTAAGTACCTCATTTGCTTTGTAATAAATAGAGTTTGTGTGTTAAATATGAATTTCGGGTCAGACTGTTACTGTTAGAATATATATTTGAAAGTTTGCTGTGAATGCTTTTTTTCTTCAATAAAGTGTAAAGACAAAAATGTTTTTATTATCTTTTTAAAAAAATTGAAATGTGACCTAGCCTGGTTATATACTGTTGGCAAAGGCTATTTGATATCAGTGAAAATCTTACTATGGCCATTAACATGTAATTTTTAAATATTAATCATAAGTGAGTCGAATATTTTACAGTTAAAATTATGTCAGAGACTTTAAATCCCTCCACACACACACACATCCACCCTCCCAAAATATATGTTCAAATCATACAATGTTGTTTTTTTTTTCAAGCGAGACATTACCATGGTTCCACTTGGCTTCATGATATAATAATATATGAAATATATACATATAAGTCTTTATACACAAGGTCATTCTAGGACCTTGACAGTGTCTGTAACTTAGTAGCATTATAATGCTGTAATTAGACTGAAATATACAAGGTAATAGTTTGTATTGCAAAAAACTTACATGAAAAGAGTGTTGATTCCCTAATACATCAGCAAAATATGCTTAATTATATTAATTACAAGAACAAACAAACTGTATATGTAGTCTGAAACATATTATTATCGTTAATTGTAAAACTGACATGTGCACAAAATCACAGACCATTCCATTAAATGAACATGATGGTATGAAAACACTATAATTTTGAAATTTTTATAGTATAGTTCACCACTTTTAGTTTAATATTTTTAAAGTCAAACCAAAAATAACACAAGAAACAATTAAAGTGTCAATATGTTTATTGGTAACAGATAACATAGCAATATTTACAATTTGTGCCATTGTTTTGATGACATTACATTTAACTCCTCCTAAACCACTTTCTGAATTTAGGAATATTGCCCTCCATAAAATTTGTATGAATGTTTGAGGCCGTTAACGTTGTATAAACAGAATGATGCCAGAGCTTAGATATTTAACATGCCCAGTATCACCTTGCTTTAATTATCTTAATATTTGCAATGTTGTTACTTAACACTGTGCGGATGATCACCTGACCAAAATCGTACAATGGGCGCTTAAACGCTCTAAACAGTTAACGTTAAATTTATATGTAAAACTAGGCCGCACGGAACCCCCCTGTATAATCAAAGCACAGAAGGCGCTGAATTTGTTTGGGTCTCAGAATGTCAGAAAGGTGAAGGTTGCGAGATTATAAACCAATTTGTTTTTTTATAGTGCCACCATTGCTTTCCAGCGTTTTTTGGCTTTAAGACTAATTGCAACACTGATATTCAATTCAATGTTTATTTGACTTAAACAATTGGGAAAAAAAGAGTTGCCTTCCTGGATTTGAATTATTGCCTGTCCTATTTTGTCAATTTTTTCATTGAATTATGCTTGTTTCTCGCTTCCGGTCTTTGAAATCATATAAATATAATATTGAAAAGTGAAAAGAAGGAAGAAGTATTAAATTAAATGAATTCACTTTGCTTGATATTTAATATTGTTTTAAAATCAAATAAACACGTTTCTCAGATGTCAAAGTAAGAAAAGGGTTGTACTCAATTGAAAAAGTGTGTTACGTCATGTTTACCCTCAAAATAATGAAACTATACATAAATTTTATCGGGGCCCATCGCACTGCGTTGCAATGAAATCCACCGCCGTCTGCGATGAAATCATTTTTTGTCATTTATTTTATAACCAGACAATAATGATTTTCCAATTTTCCAAAATATAGTTAGTTTGTGAAAGTATCATACATACGATATGATGCCGTTGTATTATGGGGTCGTTTTGCACACAATTGTACGTGCTTTAACCAAAATTAGGCAAAAGTGGCGTCCCCTCGTCAAATTGAACAGAAGCGTTTGCATAAGCGGCAATGAATTGCACCGTGTGCGTGTAATAAGTTGAAAGAGAATATATGTGGGCTCCAGTCTCACTAAGTGTTTCCAGTAAAAACATTAAAACATAAAACAAAATACAGTCATATATATATATATATATATATATATATATATATATATTATAATATATATATATATATATATATATATATATATATATATATATATATATATATATACTTACCGACAACAGCAAACGGCTATATTTTATCCACCGCTTCTGCGACGAATACTCCACCTCCTCTGCGATGGACCCGCCGCTTCTGCGAAAGCTATGGCCAGTGTGAATTAAGAGTATAAGATAAATTCTACTGAGCATTTTAAAAGTTTTTTTTATGAAAACCCGATATGAATTGGATTTCAGTGTTTTTAGCTCACCTGTCACAAAGTCCGTCGTCCGTAAACTTTTACTTTAAATGACATCTCCTCATAAACCACTAAGCCAATTTCATCCAAACTTCACAGGAATGTTCCTTTGGTGGTCACCAGAGACATAGGTCTCTGTGGTCACCTTTGAAAATTGTTCAAAGAATTTAATTCCATGCAGAACTCTGGTTGCGATGGCAACCAGAAGAAAAAACTTTAAAATATCATCTTCCAAAAAAACCCAAAGAGCTAGAGCTTAGATATTTGGCTAGTGAGTGTCTACCAAGTTTTTTCAAATAAAAGCCCTGGGGTCAAATTTGGCCCCGCCCCAGGGGGTCATTGATTTTCCTTATATGTGTATAGCAAAAACTTAAAAAGTCTTCTTTGAAAAAAAACCAAATAGCTAGAGTTTAGATATTTAGCATGAAACATCTTCTAGTGAGTGTCTACAAAGTTTGTTCAAATAAAAGTCCTGGGGTCAAAATTGGCCCGGCCCCGGGGGACATTGATTTTCCTTATATGTGTATAGCAAAAACTTATATGTGTATAGTAAAAACTGGCCCTGCCCAAGGGGTGTCATTGTTTTTAACTATATGTGTAAAGAAAAAAAACTTAAAAAATCTTCTTTTTAAAAACCCAACGTCAGCTAGACCTTAGATGTTTAGCATGAAACATCTTCTAATGGGTGTCTACCAAGTTTGTTTCAAATAAAAGCCCTGGGGTTTAAACTGGTCCCGCTCCGGTGGCCTATATACAGGTGAGCGACTTCAGGGCCATCATGACCCTCTTGTTTAATCGTGCACTGAACCACAAAGTTTGCATTGGTTCACTACCTTGTAAATGTATACATTTGTATAAACCATTAAACTGAAACACATTTCACTTGATTATTGAATTTATTATGCCCCCACTTCGAAGAAGAGGGGGTATATTGCTTTGCACTTGTCGGTCTGTCGGTCCGTAGACCAAATTGTTTTCGAGTGATAACTAAAGAACCCTTAGGAACTTCAAACTTGGTATGGTGATTGGTCATGACCAGTAGATGACTCCTATTGATTTTGGGGTCAAAGAGTCAAAGGGCAAGGTCACATTGACCTTGTATGTTTAAAACGGTTTCCGATCAATAAATAAAGAACCCTTAGGCCTAGAGACTTCAAACTTGGTATCATGATTAGTCATGACCAGCAGATGACCCCTATTGATTTGGGGTCAAGGGGTCAAAGGTCAAGGTCACATTGACCTTGTAGGTAAAAACGGTTTCTGATCAATAACTAAAGAACGCTTAGGCCTAGGAATTTCAAACTTGGTAGCATGATTGGTCATGACAAGCAGATGACCCTTATTGATTTTGGTGTCAAAAGTCAAGGTCACATTGACCTTGTAGGTTAAAACGGTTTCCGATCAATAACTAAAGAACCCTTAGTCCTAGGAACTTCAAACTTGGTATGATGATTGGTCATGACCAGTAGATGATCCCTATTGATTTTGGGGTCAAGGGATCAATGTCATAGTGACCTTGTACTTAATGACCGTTTCTGACCAATAACTCAACAACTCAAGTTGCCTTGGTTGATATTTTTATGTGCTTTTTGGTATACACATTTGAAGGTCTTATGTAATATAACAACTTGGCTGTCATTAATGAGGCCTATGTGATTCATAAAATTTATGTATATATTATTTGTAAGATTTTTAATAACTTTAATTGCTGCACACAACCTATGGGGTCACAATAATTATTACCTTGTGACTAGTCATGACCAGTAGATACTAGATAACCCTTATTAATTGCTTGTTCACTGGGTCAGAAGTCATGCATAATAACCTGATCACATGACAAATTGGCTTGCCGATAGGGGGCATACATGCTTTACAAACATATCTTGTTCACTTTGCTTTATCTCTTGCATCACAGTAAAGTGATTTCATTATGTTTTTTCTGATTAGTTATGATGTCCAGTTACGACTAAGGAAAGGTATTGTAACATTTTTTTCTTCACGGAAAAAAAAAAATTCATATATTTGATGTTTGTAACGCTAAAAACGCATCTAACTTCGTAAAATTTTAAATGAAATATTGATCTGTACATATTCTTGAATATTTATAAACATTCATTGATTGCAGGGGCGTCCAATGACTGAGTGGTAAATGTCGAATACATGCATGTCTTAATAATATAAAAACATAATGTAACTTGGAAACAAGAAAAAATATGTGATATAATTATGAAAACATAAGTTCACCTTTTTACCCTTATTTCCACCCCCACCCCCCCCCCATACCCCCCCAACAATTTTTTTTTTTTCAAAAAAAATGTTTTGTTTACTACCAATAGACTGTAATGTAAACATCAGTGTTGATAGACAACAGATAAGGCGGTTACAGTCGGTACCTAGAACTTTTTTTTTTTTTTTTTTCAAAAAATGTAATTTACAGTTACAAAGGTTCATATGTAATACACCTACTCTATTGTACGTCATCAATGAAGTTCTTGGCAGACTGTACAATCTATAACAACATCGAGAAACAAAAGAAATGAAATATCTGTTATTGGGAATTTCTTATTGCATACTAACTCCAGGGTGCTTTATTTAAAGAACCTTTTACGAAAGTTTGATTTCATACTCTTTTTATTGTGTGGTGCGTTAAGCACATCGTCCTGAAATGCAAGGTGGCGCTGATCCTAAAACAAGAAGACTAAGTTGGATTCTCTCCAGTTGGCACACTTATACTCCAACATGCTTCAGTATCTCCTGAAAGTATATGTAATTTTGCCAATTTCGCACGTTGCTTTGGTTTGTTCAGACATAGG